CTCCCCGAACGATGAATCAGCCCTACGGTATCATATGGAAATTAAGCGAAGTATTTCACGTATAATTAATGCCGCGCGAACATATGATATCTCAGCGCCGCGCGTTTCGTTGATGAATCATCGTGCGTGTAGCTTGCATGGTTCAAGACGAACACGCTTTATTAATTAATACGACTCATCTGCTTTGCTGCCACTAATTGCGGCTCTGACCCGCCTGAATTCCTGCAAATTTTCTTCGTCCAGCGAACATCGCTATCTCCTTTAGCGGTCCATAGTGAGACGCTGATTCTCGTTTAAAACACAGTAAATCCATAGCCGAGTATTTTAATGGTTAAATTTAACTGCCTCGTTGCGTGTAATTTCTCGTTTTACGTGACCACGTCGTTTTCACGGCGGGCGGTATCGCCTAGTCAAAGTAAAACGCCGATTCGCGTACGTCGATCGCGACGATTACTCAACGCTTGGGAATTCGTTATAGAATCTGTGTACGCAGGACAGATGGTGCGTATTCATATATGCACGCATGGAGCGTCGAGGAATTTATTGTGGAAATCTCTCGGCCTTCATTTCAAGCTGCGTCCTGTGGATTCCTTCGTATTCCAATATTGTGCGATCGGCTGCACAACGCAACGATCCGGCGCCTTCATCCGCCGCGCAAGGTTGCTTGCGCCGCGTATCTTTGAATATTAATTAATGGTAAACTCGTGTGGCCTCCGAATTCCAATATATCGGCCTCTCGACGAGACGCTCATTATTATTTGCCTGCGTCTTCGATAATACGAGTTGCACGCGGAATCTTAATGTATCATTTTGTTTTATACTTAATGCGCAATATTTAGACTAGAGAAGCGCTGCAACTTGAAAAATATTAGCTGTTAAACTTAATTCCTGCCGTTTTTCGTCTCCAAAATTGATTTCTTTCGAAGGGAAGATGAATGAATACCTTAATCAAAGTAATTTCCTCCATAGAAAATGGAAAGATAAATAGTCGATTTGCTCTTGCGTTACGTACTCTATTATGATTTGAACTTTCGTTTGTGTATAGAATCATACAATGAAAAACATTTCGTGTTTGTTTTGGAAATTATCTACTCGAGTCCTTGTTAAAATTTTGTGTTGAATTTTTTAACATGTTCAAATGTTAACCCTTACCGTACTAATATGGGTAACTAGTGACCGAGCGATTCCTGTTCGTGCAAGTTTCTTTGAGTCTTTCGGGTAATTATAAATTATACTACATTTTATTATTTTCCAAAATAAAGAGTCAATATTTATTCTAGAAAGTTGAAAGTATGTTGGTGAATTTTTAGAGATTTTTAAAATTATTTTGAAGAGGTGAGAAAAAACGAAGAGATTCTAGTGACCCTTGATGGTATGGATGAGGTACCAAATTGTACATAGTACGGTAATGGTTAATTTAACTAACATGTCATTTAAATAATTTGTGTTAAATTAAAAATAAATTTTACGAAAAAATATATTTTCACAGTTTGTTTATAAATTGTCAGTACTACCTTTTGTGTTTATCAAATTAATATATAAATTAGAGTGGTCCGTTTGGAATACGCGAAGTATGTTAAATTTAACACAAATTTTCCAACGGTGGTAAAACGCGGATCATTATTCTATCTTTAGGTCCTAAATTTTCGGTCGATTATTTATTGTGTCTGCAAACTTGTGTATCCGCTTTTTGTCCTCGACGTGTTGCAGTTCATATATCGGTACTTAGTCCCCATATATTCGTGCGGTGCTATTGTACTTAGAGGACATTTACGTCGAAGAGAATAAACCACGCAGTGCCCCTCGTCTCTTTCGGACCTCGTTTTCCGTTCGTCCGTTCTTTTTTTCTCTCCTCTACCTTCGCTCATATCTCGCCTTTGCCGGATATCGTGGGACTCCACAGCGTCTCGTGTATGCAGAAATAAGCCGATATTTACATAATATAATGCGCGTAAAACGCGTCTGAGGAGATTCGCCTCATCTCGCTGTCGTGGCGGAAGAGATGGCGATGGTGAGAAGAGAAAGAGAGAGAAACGGCGTTGTACAGACGCGTTACTTGTAATCGAATGTGACGGTACGTCGCGCCTCGCACAAGTACGTTGTAAATCAGGAAATCCGCCATCCTACGCCCACATCAGATTTATATCGTTCTTAAACGACGTCGTGGAACGTCGCTTGATCGGCCGTTGCGTTGTTTTATCACATCGTACGTGCGTGTTTGCATATCTCGAATAAACGTGTGGAATTGTTCTCGCGTATTGCATTGATAATAAAGTAGCTGGTTATTTGTACAATCGACCAGTCACCTGCTACGACTTGCGAAACGCCATTCACGGTTGTTTCATTCGACTCGGACAATATTTATCGTCGCGGCTACCGATTTTATCGATCACGAATTGGAAATGAAAGATAGAAACAGCTAAATAATGAAAGTCTTATCTGGCTAAAAACAGTCGTCCGATTTTAGCATGAAATTTCACGACAAAAAAACTGCAAGAGATATAATGAAACGCTCGATGGCGAAAAAAAATAATTTTTATGTTATGGAATAATTTAGTTTATGGAAACACACGGATGATAAGACGAATCGTCAATTCAGGGAGAGAAACGCAGATATTTGTCTGTCAGCCAATTTCTAAGAAGCGTTTTTAACGAAGCATTATTCTGTACGTCTGCCTTGCATCGTGAATTGTAATTACATTCTTTGTTCAATTAACGATCGCATTGTCACGGTTTTCTTTGCTTTACAATCTCTTTAGAATTTTTTTTGCAAATTTGCTGGATGGTTTCTATGCTGTTTTTAAAACTAAAACCACCGATTGTATCATTTTAACTCCGCTAATTATTTTAACTTTTTTTTTATATTAGATATACAGTACAGAATATTGAAAATATGTGCTCTCTAAATCTAAACCAGTGGATAATCACTGATATCAGTGCCAAGTATGCCACTGGTAATCAGTGAGTGAAATGTGAAATTCCTAACCTAGCTAACCTTTATTATGTGATCTAATTAAGCTTATTTTAGTGCATAAATTCAATGAATATAGTATTAGAAGATTGAAATTAACATATAAATATCAATATTTTAGAATATATAATGCTCAAACCTTCTTTCTTTTTTAATTGAACATCACTGATTATCTAGCCAAATACTGGGTGATTAGTAAATAGTGGCATACTTGGTATTGATATCAGTGATTATCCACAGATTCAGATTTAGAGAATGAATATAATAGAAGTAATTCTAATGACATAAATAATATCGAAATAACTCTTCACTAACTGAAAATTAAAAAAATTAAATTGGCATTTTCGATCATTTTTGCGATATTATCGGCGGTTCTAAGAATAACTTTATAGATAAAAAAACTGCCTATATTTAGCGATAAGTCGTTTACAATTTATTTGTCAAAATATAAATGGAAGCATAATAATCCGACGAATCTTTTAATCTTTATTGGCTTATTTGTTTTGTAACTGGATTTGAAGTATGCAATTATTTCTATGGGAAGCTTAGAAATTTCTGAGACTTTTCAGGGCTTGACACTCGAAATCTAATCGACTCTAACGAACTTTCTTTGCGTAAAGACGAGCCGACAAGCTCTCGTCGACTGCAGTTTTCTTGGCTAGTTTGGTAAGCTGCACACCAGAGAGATTGTCAAGGGTCTTTTAGGACCGGGACAAAGGTGGTGCTTCTCGTGTCGTACAGCTCGTTGTGCATTGTGCACTTTCCGGGAAAACTAACCCTGTTCACGGAAGTTTGATATTATTTATAAGTGATGGGCCTCGGGGTACGATGGGAAAGAGTTAAGCGACTTCATTCCGGAGTGGCGGTACTTCCGGACGCAAGATGAGAAACTTTCGACGACTATACAAGTATCATCACGGAAACGTATACGCTCGCGGGCGAAAAGCCTGTCTGTGTAATCAGTTTTGCCTAACTATATACGGGAAATGAGATAATGAGCTTTTCGATGTCGTGTAGCTTCTACATTTTCGTGCAAATTGGTAAGATTTAAATTTCGAGGCAAATTAGCGAAGAATCGAGATAATTTGTATTTCTATGATAACAATTTTAAGTTCTTATTAAATAATTTAAATTTACGAAAAATTAAGCTCAATTTTTAATCAGCTTTCTGACGATTATGTATAATTATACCGTCAAAGCTCTCGGTAATGTAATTTACATTCGACGTTTTGCTAATGATAGCGTAGCAAAGCGAAATAATAAAGTTGTTAATGAGATACGTGATTTTAGGATGACATGGAAAATGCCTGGGTCTCTCTCTTTAACGACTTTAAATATATCGCGTGTCGTGAAGAGCCGCGTTGAAAGCAGCTATCGGCTGATGCTCGAGCGCTATCATTTCGCAAAATGGTAGGACTCGGAAGTATTACCGCGAGAAGTCGTACATTGTAGCTTTACAAGGTATCGATTTACGATATAAGATTTACGACGGGGTATATCTTACGTACGATATCGTTTATTTTTATGGTTCTCTTTTCTCGTTTATGTTCTCCATGCCTTAAGGAAATTCTATACCAGGGTAAAATACTATTTGTGATGATTCATATCACTGGGCTGATTTCTGAGAATTCAGATGATTTATATTTGCCCAATCGTGAAACATATTTATGTATCTATTATACGTCAAAAGTATTTTTACCGCTCGAATCAAAAACATCCATTATTTGCAAAATATTAATGTAAACCGATCCGAATAGATATTCAATATTATTGCACGATATTATTGATCGTCAATATTTATGACTCTAAAGGCTATATTGAGCCTTTAGATAGTTTATTTTGTTAAAGAGAGTATCTCAATAGTATCGTATAAAATAATGTACAATAACACCCAAGAGAAAGGTTTCTTCGATTTAAAGAAATGTTTCTTTGAGTTGGAGAAACCTTTCTCTCGGTGAATATTGAGTGTTTACGGTCGCTTTACATCTCAAAAGACGAAATTTGAAGAAAACTTTACCTCTGTTTTCAGCAACCGCAGCAAGAAGAAGTAAAAGCTGAGGAAGAAACGAAGCAAGAATCGTCTGGAGACTCTCCTGCGGAGGTTGCGGAGGTCACGACGCCCACAGAGGCCACCCCTGCCAGTCCGAACACTGCCACTTCTCCAGACAATAAGGAAGCCAAAAAGAAGGAAAAGGTAAGGCGACTTGCATCTGCGCTCGCCGATCCGGACTTAATTAATCGTGCTTGATAAAATACATCAATTTTCCTCATATCGCGATAGGATATCGAAACATGTTCACGTATTATCAATTGTTCATGTCAATTTAGAAGCTTTCCTTCTACGAAATATGACGCGTAATTACATGCGATGAGTTTGCCGATTGCTATCAGACATGTCTCCTCGTTTTCTAGAAGAAAAAGTGGTCCTTCAGGTCGATCAGCTTCAGCAAGAAGGACAAGACTAAGCCGAGCCGCGATGAAACGCCCAAGAATGGAGACGTCACCAAGGAAGAGCCACTCGCAGAGGTGAGTCGCGAAAAAGCATTCTACAAGAATATATTGTTGCTCCAATTGATGGAGTGACAAGAATTTGCTTTGCGAAAACACTGCGCTTCTCAAAATAAACATAGGGTCTGTTTTTAACGTTATTTCGCTACGATTGCAAAATTCGTTACCTCTCGCTCGCTTTCGGGAGAGCGAGATGTTATATATTTGCCAGTATATATTTTTCAATTATCCAATGTTTGCTTGGAAACGTTTCTGCCGAATACCCGTAATTGAAACAATATACTACATAATTTATAACTCAGTAACAAATAATTGGATAATTTTACCTCTTGACTAAATTTCATAACACCGATTGTGCGTTTTCGCGCTAAACAATTATCACGTTCTCGTATCGAGTTCAATTTTGCTCGAGCTAATTACTCCGCTTTTTGATATCATGTATTTGGATTGCGTTTATTCTCGAAAAAGTCGCAAGTTTTTAATTTTATCGATACTGCCAGCTCTTGTTATCGATGCAACGGCAAATAAAACCTGCGCGACGATCGCGACGCGTTACGCAATGCGCTTCGATAGCACGAGGCGTTATTGCGAATAAAATTGTTTTTTGCGTTCATCGAACAACTCTCGTGAAATACGTACATATCGCAGCGCCTGAACAAGTTCCAGGGCAAGGTAGCGTAGGTGGTGCACAATCGCAACGCGGGAAAAAACATCGGCTTTACGAGCGGCAATGAATCGCCGCGACCCCGTTCCGACTTCCTCGATCTTTTGCCGGCTGCTTAATCGCCGCGACCGAGTAATCGACCAGCCGGCTGTGTCGAAAAAGTCTCGGCCAATAACGGCCTATGTTTGATCAAGCGTAGCACTTCGTGTTTCCCTTGAAGTTCGTGCCGTGATCCGCGTGCGCCGCGCAGAGAGATACCTAATCGCGAACGGCCACGCGATAGCCGTCACGGGATCAGGAGCGGATTAGGACTCATGACACCCCTATGCAATTGAATCGTTGCCCTCCTTACTCAAGCCTCAATGTAACTTAACCTAAATTAATCAAATTCTGTATTCTGTTATAGTTATTGGTACCGATGGGATTAAGTATCTTACAAGTAGGTTCGAATCTGTTAAAGAAGTTTCGAACTCTCTACGATATTACTTCGAAAAATAGTAGCAGTACTTCCAAGTAGATTCGAACCTAAACGAAATAGGTTCGAACCTCTATGAATACCTCGAAAAATAAAAATAGTACTTCCAAGTGGACTCGAACCTAAACGGAATAGGTTCAAACCTCCTATGAGTACCTCGAATGCACAGATCATGTACCTCGAAAAATAAAAATAGTACTTCCAAGTGGACTCGAACCTAAACGGAATAGGTTCGAACCTCCTATGAGTACCTCGAATGCACAGATCATGTGAATTTCTGTTGGTTAATAACCCTGTTCGAGTACTACTTGTAAAAGATTCGATGTTGTACGATAAAAAGTACTTTGTAAGTATATTTCGAATTTTGCAGGTACTCGTATGTAAGATTTGAAACCAGCAATTTGAAATCGATTACTTTGCAAGTATGAAGTATGAAATATTATTTCTTATGAGTATTACTCGAATCCTAGAAAATGAAACTACATTATTAAATTTGACTCGAATTTTTAAGTACATATCGAGTTCGATCCCATCTCTAGTTATTGGATACGCACACATTCGTTGGTAATTTTTTCATTATTCGCATCTAGTAAAAACTGACAGTTAAAAAATTTTTTTTTAAACTGCCACTTTTCTCTAAATTTGCCATCTGTATGTATAGCTTAGGTTAGCCTAGAGATCCTACAATAGTCTGATCACGAACAATTTCCAAGCAAGAGTGAAAAGAAGGATATATACTGTCTCTTTTTATATGTACTCTCTAAAACTTTCAGAGGGAATTGTCACTCTGATGAATGAAATTTCGCTCTTAAAGATTGAAAATTTAGCTACTCTCTTTCAAAATTTTGAAGTGAGATTCTACTCTGAAAAATTTAGAGAGTATGCTGTCTCATTCTTACGTACTGAAACTGACAAAAACAACAGACTAGTCAAAAGTTTGTAGCCAGACTCTGTAATAGGATCTCTAGGTTAACCTAGGCGTTAATACGTCACTAGATAGAATCGAGGGCTCTCGGACGGTGCTCAATTGGCTCCGGAACGTCTTGATCAATTTCGAAGGTGCTCGCGATTATCAGAGATTTATTTGGTAGAAACGATCGTCTCGGTGCTTGGGTCCGCGTTAATAAAGTTTTGTTAGTCTCGCTCATGATTTCTCGGTTCTCATGTTTATCGGCAGGACGAGGGCCATCCCTCGGTGTCGTATCATTGTCGCTCAGGGAAATGATGAAGTATTATGCAGCTACACGTTATACTTCGTGACGCTGACGGCGCAGCCATTACAACGACGCGACGGCCTTTCACGAGCTCCGTGAATGATGGAGCTCATTTTGTAGATGTTATTATTAATCTTCGTCGTTGCGGCTTAACAAGCTATTCCACGTTACGCACGCTTTATACCTCGATCAGTGCGATTATATTGTGATCGCGCGATACCTCGCGTCATAAGGATGCACCGAGTCTCGGAAGCTTTAATTGGACCACGATCGATTCTTGGAAAATTAACAACGTAATATAATAATTATGTATATAATGAATAATTAAGTTTCTCTTATAACGTAGTATGATAACAAACATAGCTGTAGCAATTTTGTTTACACGGGAAGGACGGTTTTGTTGAAATATCTAAAGATTTAGCTACTCTCTAAAACTTTTAGAGTGAATCTTACTCTCTAAAGAGTAAAGTCTCACTCTGAAAATTGAGCCACTCTTTTTCAAGGCTGGCTTAATTTTCACTCTTTAGAATAAGATTCTACTCCAAAGAATTTAGAAAATAAATATAGATATGGAAATAATTGTGTTGGACCATCAAAATAATTACATATGTAGGACGCTCAAACTGATTGTTAGAACGTTAAAATTTTTTATAACATTGCTCATTGTGCTTGAGATTTCCGCGTAATTATTAGTCCAACCAACCAACTTATTTTTAGATCTGTATCTAGCTAAATTTTAACTTTAACAAAATTGTTTTTTCTCTGTATAGTTCACACATTTCTTCTTGACAAAATTTTGCGTTAGATTGTGTACATTTAGAGATTGAATACTAATATCATTTCTACCAACGTAAATGAACTTTAATCTCGGTTTAATTTACCTTTCATCTCTTCCTGGTTCTTCAGCAAAAGATAAAAAGTAAGTTAAACCGGGATTAAAGTTAATCTCCATTGGTAGAAATAAAAGCGTCGATTAGAATGAAAGCAACAACGTACTTCACTTGCATCCACCTGCTGAAGTCACGTTCTGAAAAGCATACTGGGATAATTATCCTAAGGCAGCAATGAATCATCATAGTTCTTTCCGGTCAACGCAGGCAGGCAGCTGCGATCCGTTTGCCGGCAGATGCATAATAAATAGCGACGCCTGCTCTCGCTTTTCTTCCCGTTTCTCTCGCAATTTTTTTTTCTCGCTCTCTACAGCTTCCCGCCTTATCTTGCTCTCTCGAGTACGTAGTCTCGCCTAAGCGAAGCATGTAGCCGTAAGATCTCGCGACGGCTGATCCTCTCGTTTCCTTCACCACCTTCCTCTTCATCTTCCTTTACAGTCTGCAGTTCAGCCGCATTCGCGTGCGTGGTCTCCCTTCCTTCCCTTTCTTCGTCGCCGCGACCTCGACGCGACAGAAAGAGAGTGGGAAGAGAGAAGAACAGCCGTGACTCATCCCTCCGGTTCGTCGTACCTCCACGCGCGCAACTTTCGTGATAGGCCGCCGTGGAAAACCGGCTCTTCGCCGCGCGTGGTTAAATTATCCCCGCCGGTTGCCTGCCTGCTTGCCTGCCTGCCTGCTAGCCTACCAGCCAACCAGCCTGATTCCTTGTCGCAGCCTCCAGCTTCGACCTGCAGCTCGTCCCGATAGACAATGGCTCTTTGCCCGATATTACACGACCACGATAATTTTATCGTCGGATCGGTTCACTGATCACGTTGGCATTATTAAAAGTCTATTCGATTACTATCCGACGTAATGTCGTTATAGCATTACTCGCGTTATTATTCGGAGTTATTCTCCCGCGTTATCAGTCGGTTTGACGAAAGCGAGAATCTCAACGTTGAAGACCCTTCCGAGATGGTATAATGACGGGACTTCATTAGCGTTGTTACGTTATTTATAGACTCCGCGCGTCTTGCGGTACTTTTTGCTTTATCGGCAGACTATCGGCATATCATTTTTACGTCCTGTTCTCGCAGTCGTTTATCACCGCGAGTGATGGATGCGGTCGTATCGCTTGGACAGTTGAAAACATGCATTCTCCATAGCGCGGGACGGACCGAAGGTTCCGTGCTCTCACGAAAGAATTCTAGATATTTATAGCTTGTATCGTCTCGTTGTCGACATTAATGTAACCTTGATGAATCGAACAGTTGCTGCATCTTATTTATTATCCTTCGAGCGAGTTTGGCAATTATTCTTTCTCTAATTAATAATAGATACAATATTTAGACAATTATTATTTGAATTTATTCGACGGTTATATAACGTTTTGTAGGACATCTGATATGTATCATTACACGGAGAAAAATGGTTGAGTAATTTTTATCTTACAAGACTAGTAAAAATATTCTGCCTATTTTTCACAAATTTTACTTGTCTGAAAGTAAAAATCCTAGAGGGTAAGGTAAAAGTACATTACAATTATAGTAAATCCATTCAAGTAATTATTATCTTACAGTAAAGTAAATCATATTATTCTCGAGATTTTTTGGTAAGCATGAACAACTCTCAAGACTTTACACACTTGTATTTTTTACCGTGCAATAAAATAAATTTTGTCAGCACTAAGGCAAAAAATACTCATCAATAAAGTAAATTCTAAAGTAAATTTCTAAGATATATGGTAATTTATTGATTTATTTTACGAAATATGTAAAAAGTACCTTATAATA